TCTATGAAGTTACCAACTTATAAAGTTCCCCAATCATATAGCTTCAAACCATCTCTTATTTATCTGTGTATCACCTCATCCCTCCTTTAAAAAATCCCTAATGACTCACATCCCAAAATCCATATCCATTCTCCTTTGGAATGCGGTGATAGAAATCACGTTAACGAACTAACAGCTTTACTACTGGACAAAAACACTGACATAATTTCTATAGTGTAACTAGAGGATTTCCATAGTACCGTAATTGATCCATTTTGGACGAATTTGAAAGTATCTTTTCAACCGACTCACTCAGGCTCTAGAACATTGTCGAATCAGACTGTGCCCATTGGTTAGGGCCACTCATGGTCAACCGGCTCATGAAGACAAAAAATTATTTTCCTAAAACGGACAGCCTAGAACTAAAGGCGTCTATATATAAAATGCGATGTCTTAGCTATTAGACGCATTCTGTGTGTAGAAATCTTTAATCTTCGGTACTTTCTTATCTAATCTTAAGTGCATCACGATTCATGATTAATATACATCGGGTAAACTAACCATCCCTACACACAGGATATTTAGGTACTACTAACCTTGCAATAATTTGTTGAATTATAACCTTGTATATGTTGTACATATGTTGAAGAGGTGTGGGCGGAGAGGCTGAATGGGCTAACGTGTGTACACAGCACCGCTGTTGACGGGCAACCTGATACATGAGATTACTAGATAAAAATAGTCACGAGTTCGCGTCCCGGTGACGGAGGAGTCTTTTAAATCTATTCCCTCACTCCCTGGCCTGGTAAAACCCCGTATAGCCTTAATGGCAAGAAAGAGGAGGATCCAAATATATATATATATATATATATATATAATATATATATATATATATATATATATATATATATATATATATAAATATATATCTTCAAGAGGTTTTGATATTGATATAAGACATAAATTATAAGAAGAAGCAATAAATTCAGGAACTTTTATTTATTTTTATATCTCCTATTTAAGTAATATTGAGTAAGGTAGTGTTGTTACTTAAATTACTATGTAATAATATCTTTATTAAAAATCAAGAAACAATACAAATAATTTTATTAAATTTTATACTATTACTTATACACAACTTCTAACTAGAGCTTAATATCCGAATGAAGAACTTTACAATTATTGGCAATTTTTAAATGAATTTTTGAACATATTCCAGTTCATTAATTAAAGAAGTTAAGGACACAAAAATCCAACATACGCCTCACAGACTCTACAACAGTATTTAACAAGATTACATCACTGGTTCAAAATTTGAAAAATCCGACTAAACCAAGACAAACCACAGCACATCACCACAGCAAATTTGGAACAAGCCACAGCAAATTTGGAAAATCCGACTAAACCAAGACAAACCACAGCACATTTACCCTTCGACGTGAAACATGCCCTCCAGTTTTCCTTGACAATACACAGATTCCAAGACAGACACCGTTCACTACCTTGGTCTCACACAGATATTTGGAACAGCTAAAAATACTCACATAAACAAACTTCAAATCTTTCAAGCAAAAACATTTAGGACAATTACCAAAGCACCTTGGTACGTTAGCAACATAACCTTACATACTGACCTCCATATGCCGACTGTTAACGAACACATACGAACTCATTACAAACGATTCCATGACAACTTACAAGGACATCCTAATACACTTATAAATGAAATGGCCACTACGGATATACCAGGTAACGTCTGTAGGAGACTGAAAAGGAGCTGGATGAGGGACCTCCTCGCCTAATTTAGATCACGCCGCTGGTATGGTGCCGCTGGACATTGCTCCTCCTCATGCCTTTCATGACATTATATTTAGCAATCGATTCACTGGTTGTCATTTCCATTATGACAGGTGTGAATAAAAAAAATTAGTTAAATAGTTCGTTTGAGAACTGTCATAATGTTACAATCGATACTAGCAAAAGTCTCAAAATAAATTTTAAGCAGCTTGAAAAAATATATAAAGAAAAATGGCAAACAGAAAGTATATTCAATAGGACCCGAATATACAATAACTTTTTCAAACTAAAAGTTATCTCACGAATTTTATCTTAGGAACGATATCGGATGAAATTATTCTGGTTTGAGTAAATAAATTATCAGTAAAAGTCTCGTTTTCATTGAGGCTGCCAAGCTTTGGACTTCGGACTTTAGACAGAACTAATCAAACTTTTTCAGTCCTCGCCTTTTTTCATAAAGATAATAACTATGCCATTGAAGTTATGAAAAAGTTAATTTGACAATCCTGGCTTCCCTTCTATAGCCATTATTTCATTATTCCGAGTTGAGCATTTTATCAAGTTAAAGTTCTTTTGTATCATTTGGCCAAACAATGTCGAGATGAGAAACCCTCCAGGGGATTTAATTTTTATCATCCTTCTTTAGAAATCGACAATTTCCACGATTTTATACAACGCATATTCAATTTCATAGTGAACCAATATTTCCGTTTAACTAAGTATTATTTTTTTTTTTAAACTTCTACCTTTTACATCTTCATATGTTTTAATTTGTTCAAAAACGATTATAATTAATTAATTAGTGTTTTATAAATTTAATTAATCTATGTTTATTTAATACTAATCTATATATCCCTATCAATCTAATATCAAAAAAATATCTCTATATAATATATATATATATATATATATATATATACATATGTATGTATGTATGTATGTAATCTATAGCATTAAATTTATAACTATAAATATCATTACTAGACCAAAAATGTTGTTTCAATCATTGTAATGATAGGATTTTGGTGACGCTAATGACATTTTATCATTTAAACCGCTCATTCGATCGAGTACCAAGCAGCACTAGCAGATCTAGGATTTAATTTTGGGGGGGCTTCAGGTTTTTTTTCATATACATATAAAGATAATTAATTTGAAAAAAAATAAATTAATTACCTATATGAAATGGTGTTTAAGTGGTTTTTGAAGTTCTATCTACAAGAATACTTTAAGAGATAGTTTTTAATATTTTTTTCTGTAAAACAAGGTTACATTTTACCATTTTGTGGGGGAGGCTTCAGCCCGAAAGCCCCCCCCCCCGTAGATCCGCCTGTGCCAAGCAGCAACTCTTTCCGGCCAATATTTCCTTCAATCGTCCAAAAAAGGAGCTCATCCAGCTCCTTTTTGTTGGCCTTCCGATGGGCAAGACATTGGTGGCCATCGGTCTATTCTTATTCGAGAGTAGTTTAATATGAAATCGGGAATAAAAATTATTCCGTAGTGTTGATCAATAATTGGTTTTCTTTAGCCAGTATGTTAAGTTTTATTGTTTAAGTACCAGAGAGCTGCTGTTATTAGTATGAAAGTTTTAGAGTGAAATGATTGTATTTTTTGTTTATTTTTATAGCGCTTTGAATTTAGTATTTCTCAGATTTTCAATTTTGATTTGAGTAAAAGTGAATATGGTATTTTCAGTTGCTTGATTAAAGTCTTTCGTTTCATTTTGAAATATAGGCCCCAGGTCAGTGTCCGTCTGAGGAATTTGGTAGCCACCAATATAGCACCATAACTAATCTATTTGAGAGTGTTTTTCCCACCGACTCCCTCAGGCTCTAGAACATTGTCAAATTGACCTATATCCATGGGTTGGGGACACTCACGGTCAACCGGCTCATGAAGACAAAATTCTATCCCTCAAACGGACAGCCTACTCTCTATTCCCGATTTCATTTTAAACTACATGGACATCACAATGGACTTATCACCAACATGGCCACGGCTGAAATGCTCATCAGGAGGCGACTTAAAAGGAGCTGGATGAGAGATCTCCTTTCCTGATTTTAGGATGTAAACAGACCAGGGAAGAGGTGCTGCTGGATTCCATTCTTCGTCATGCCATTTTCTACCTGTCCGCAAATCTGCTAATCGTCACTACCATGATAGGTGCTGATGAAACAATAAAGACAAAAAAAAAAAAGGTAGCATTGAGTTAGGTAGTGTTGTTACTTAATTTACCATGTGATAATATCTTTATTAAAAATCGAGAAATAATATAAATAATTTTATTAAATTTTATACTATTTGTTATACACAACTTCTAACTAGTGCTTAATATCCGAATGAAGAACTTTACAATTATTTTTACAATTATTTACTATTTTTAAATGAATTTTAGCTCATTAATTAATATAAACTAGTGGACATGTGTCTCGTCTAAGTGTAAATGTTATATTTTGCGACTTGATTTAATGATTTAATATTATTTTCCAAAGTGAGTACGAATTTTGTAAATTCAATAAGTGATTTTATAAATTCATTGAGGCTAATCTGGGATTATAGTGATTTGTATCATTGTATATTATATTTTATTTATTTTGTTTTGTAGTGAATGTTTCGGAGTTTCTAGGTATGTCGTGAGTATAGATAATGTAGAGTAGAAGAGCCATATTGATCCTCAAGGAACTCCTGCCGAAACTGGTCAAATTTAGAAAATTTCTAAGCTCTCAACTAAAAAGTAATAAGTATAAACTCATGAAATAAATAATTAAATAGTTAATAATTATGTATTTTATTGTAAATCCATTGTAATATCTGATGAAAAGGTGACCTTTGAAAACTTAACACTGGATTAATGATCTAAACATCACACAGCTAATTCACTTGTTCATCACTCATTCATTCATTTACTTGTTAAAACATTTCGGTTAGATCCCAAGCAATCTTCAGATTCATTATAGGTTTTATGCAATTTATATATTAGTTATATTCAGACTCCTTTATCAGCTGTACGAAACCAATAACGATGCAGAAGACTACTTTATATTTGACCAAAACTTTACAACATAGGAATAAATAAATGAGTGATAAGGCGAAAAGCCTATAATACTTATTCAATTAAAGTTTCTTCTTGGTCTTGATATTACAAATTTTCCATCTAGAATGTTTCCTGAATTTATTTTCCCCTTCCTGAATGATTTGATAAAAATTTAATTCAACAGAACTTTATGGAAGATATTTTTTCCATTTGGTTACAGCCAGACTTGAAGGCAGTAGATACATTCAACTGCAACAACGGCACCCAGTGCAGCTCGCTCACCGGCGTCTTCAACTGCTCCAAAGGGACACTGCTCCAAGTTCTCGCAGGTCTACATCGTCTACAACAAGGCCGATGGCATCACAGTGGACAGCGACAAGGACAACCTCAAGCTCAACGGATTCTTCAACTGCATTCATTCAAGGTAACTAAACTATAATGATAAAATAAAATGGATCATTGAAGGCTTAACCTGGACTTTAGATTGTGACAGAGGTGGGTAACGCATATTTTGTCCCCCACCTCATTATTTATTCAGGTAACTATAATAAAATTTACTTTAGGGAACAGGGGAATATAGTGTTAAATTGTAAGTAAGTTCTGAACTCTCATACATTCAGCAAATGCGATACAGATAAATACATGATATGAAGTGGCTTGTAGAGAATCTCGCCATTGGTAGCACTCTAATAAAGTTTCTAAATTAGGATATCTCGAGGCCATCTTCTTTTCAGACGCCTAGGAGGGTTATCAGAGATCGAAGAAGAAGCAAGGTTAGAAACGAGAGAATTAGGATGGTTCTGAAATTTATTATGGAAGCATAGGTATCTGGATTGGGTCAAATCGAAAACATATGGAACATTCAGTTCATGGATTATTTTATTTGTTACAAAATAAGGAGCATTAAGGATTTTCGATTGTAAAGATACGAGAGGAATTCGATGATTTAGTGGAGCCCCAAAGTTCAACTTCGTAAGTCCAAATAGGTCTTATTATGGTCATATAAATGAGTCTTCTGTAATTAATTGAAAAATTAAAGCGTTTGTCTAGTAAGTGCTGAAGTAGTCAGGAACGTCGAGCGGTTTCTTGTTGTTTCTGTCTGGTATGAGAATTCCAAGTTAGACGTTTGTCCAGGTGGAGTCCTAGGTATCGGATTTGTTCAACGGGGATAACTGGGATATTATTAAAGGATAATGTAGGACAGGAAGTCATAGCTTTACGACGAAGGGTAAAGGTAATTTGATAGGATTTATTGGAATTCATTTTAATTCTCCAATTTTGACACCATTCTTCAAGGTTGTGATGTGAGATTGAAGGGTTAGGGATACAATTGTTGGGTCGTTATGAACTGATAGGGCACAGACAGACTCTATCAAACGCCTACCGTGCCGTCGAGAAAGACTCCCGTGCAGTACATTTTGCACTCCAATGCAGAGGAGACTACGTCTACCACACGATGGCATTGCTGGCTAGTGGAATGGGAAGTTCGGAAACCAAATTGGTGATCTGGGATTATATGATTAGGATATAGGATGGGGTACAGGCGTGTAAATAGTTTAAATAAATATTACTATTAAGATTTGACAGCTACTTATGCAGACCCTATACAGGTCTCACTAACTCTAGTACACCACTTACCCAAATTACAAGATTGGTTCAAACTATGAAAAATTCAACTAAATCGTGATAAATCCAAACATACAACATTTAAACTTCGAAAAAATACTTGCCCTCTAGTTAATATTGACAAAAACCAATTCAAACGGACACTTCACTTTGTCTTGGACTTACCATGATGACATGGGGATCGCATATAAAAAGAAAACTGAAGACCCTTAACAAATTACTCAAACCACTTCACACACATTTTTCAAAATCTTCAAATTTGGAACTGAGACAGATACCATATGCATCCTTACTTAAACCCATATGGATATACTCATCACAGATATAAAGTATCACCAAAAAGACCCGCATACAAAACTTTCAAACCATCCAATCAAAATTATTATAACTTATAGTGAAGGCATCTTGGTACGCGACTAACAAAACAATACATTCCGACATCCACCAACCAACAATTGACCAACATATTACGATTCTTTATACAAATTTATACGGAAATTACAACAGTTTAATAAGAATCGTGGCTATACTTAACATACACGTGGCTAACATACACGTAAAAGAATAAAAACACGCTGGATGAGAGATCTCTTTCCTCAATCAACCAGAGTAAATGAATCTTGAAAAGGTATTGCTGTGTACTCTCCTTCCTAATGCCTGACAAACCATAATTTCCTGTTTTGTTATCTCATTTTCTCATTGTCATAGCACATTTTACTGCTGCGAATATGAAGACAAAAAAAAAATATACTAAAATAGTGTTATTTTTTTTTTTTAACTTTCTTTATTGAATATTAATACATTCTGCCACATTGAAGGGCATTAATATTAAGGCTACATGATTCATTCACACAATATGTCCATACAATTAATATCAATAATAAAGGAAAAGAAATATAAAAACAAAATAAAATAAGTAAATTGGTATGCCTGTGTACAAAAAAAATAATGAAATAATAGATAAAAGCTAGATGAAATTAAAGTAAATAAATCACATTCACACCTATGTACAATATTTACATTCACCCAGAGAACTCTGAGTCATGCCTTATTCCCCGACGTGGAAGCCAAGGCAGGACTCCAGGAGATCCCAGTGCTTCTCTCTCAGCCGCAACACTGTTATTTGAAACCAGTAGTGTTATTAAATTTTCAAGAATAATAAAACTGAATTAAACTTTAAGCTAAACGTTTGGGAAGTGTATGCCTTTAGAAGAATGGCAATGAAGGCAATCGCTTTCGTGAATATGTTTTATGATTTCTCAAACTTTTTAGTCCCCGATTCAGACCAAAACAATCAGAAAATAACTTTTATATCAACACTGTCCAATGTTTTTTGTGCATATTGTATTTTTTCAAAGTTTTTCCAGATACTAGGCTACTAATATAATTGATAAACATTTGACCCCATAAAAGGCCTTTTATAGAAACTTTGTGCTTGAATGCAGGTACATTTCATTTCCGAATGCAATATGTAGTGCCTTTGAAATAAAATACTTCCATCGATTACAGGTATTGATTTCCTATATGACTGAGTGAGTTCCGTTGTCTGTCGATCGCAGATTAATCACACACATCTGTCAAAATTGATTGACTGTCACACCTCAGGTAGGACAACGTTGTATCCCGAATCAGTTACATAATTCCTATCATTTCCTTAACAATTCTGATAATGAGAAATTAAACAATTTCATAAAATATCTCTATTAATACACATTTATGACTCGAGTAGACTGGAGTTCTGTATTTGTTCAACAATATATTATATTATGTACTTAATTATATGATGTTTGTGTAGTAACAATTTATATACATATATACTCATACATTTTCTGTTTTATTTTACATAAAAAGTAATTACAAATATGACAGCTCTATAGACAATCTTTTTATTATATTGTTTGATTAGTTTAAAATAGGAACGAAAATTGTTCGCACTTATTTTATTTAATGCCTACCTTGTGTGCCCGATGAATGAAGTGCATTTTTTAGGCATAACATGAGACTTTTCTGTAATTCTTAACAAAATATGAGTAAATATCTGTAACTTCACCAAACATTGAGGTTTTCGGATTAATTCAAGATTAGTTTAATTAAATCACATTATGTTTTCTCGTTAAAGTTGACCTAATAGATAAAAAGGAACCAAGATGCTATGAAATAATTTAACTTGCAGTAACAATTAAAATCGTTGGTTTATTCCAAAAAATCACTACATATTTTCTTAATGGAACTAAATTTTTAAGTACTTCTTCTTTAATTTTGATTTTATTTATAGGCAAAAACATAGTAACTGCACCTCATGAATTGCATCAATTGTCTTTTTAATAATAATAATAATAAAAGTCTTAGCGAACCCGAAGATTAAATGCCGCCACCGCCTATCTCTATCAATACACTCCATTCCAACTTTCGCCGTCCAAGTCCGATAGATCAGTCTTATCAGTCGGCCTATCCCCCGGAAGTTAACCATTTGTCCCAGCAAATATTATTCTTTTAGGGATTCTTTCATTAATAAGCCAAAAAATTTTACTTTTATCTGTTAAAAAGGAATGAAAGCCTCTATTAGCGTCAATGTCGCGTATTGCTTTAGCGATACTTTTAAACACGTCCAGACAGGCATTTTTATAGTTCTATTCATTTTCATAGTTTCCGTGTCTTCCCTTTATAGGACCAAATCATTAGCATAACCAAGCATGAATATTGTTCCACTCAAATTTTCGGTACGCATTTACCTGCGTATGTGCTGCTCTCTTTGCTTTGCAGCGGGCCCTTCCAAGGAATTTCCACCGACCAATCAGACATCCACCACCCATGGAACACTCTCCTAAGCGGTAATGAGATCGGCGTGAAGTAATGTATTATTAATATTTCCAAAATCCTATATGCTATATTCTTGTCGGGAAAGTTTTTTGTTCAACATTTTTATCAATTTTACTCATTTTTGAAAAACTTTAAATAATTAAAATTAAAATATATTACTGAAAAGGATTAAATTTCCCCTCTCTTAATCCTAGTCTAAATCTACTCCTACCGAAGAAAGTCTTATGAGTTTTTTGTAATATAATATGCATAAAGCACCTGCTATATAGTCTTTGATTATAAACTTTTATTATCTTATTAATGTTAAAGTTTCTCAAGACACTTGGAAAGTTATCAAGAATAGTTAGAGTTTTGTCTAGTCAGGGAGATTCAGTAAATTATCGCTACAGATTGAGACAAAAGCGAATGGCAGCCTTACGTAACTTCTCAAACACGGATCGATTTGTTCTGACGCAAATTATTTAGTTGTATAGGAACAAATAATATAAATTGAATTTAGCAAAAGGAAAATTATTTTCTATAAAACAAAAGATTCATTGCCCTTTGAAGTTAGGTGAGACAAGCATATGACATTTATCTTATATGAATAATGAAATACTCATTTACACCACAATGATCTGTATTTCAATTTTTTTTATCCAGCGCCTGGCATCAAATAGATAAATCCATCTGAACATTATTGCGAAATATTTAAACAAATTATAATTAAACTGAGCAAACTAAACAAAATAATAAATATAAATTAAAAAGTAAATATATGATAAACAAACAAAATTAATAAGAAACCTGCATGCAAACACTTATCTAATATAAAGTCAACATAAACTTTTTTTTTTTTTTATTCGTAATCGCCTCTACCTTAGAGGGTCATTGGCGGCTAGTTTTCTATATTCTATTGTAATGTTTCGTCTCTATTAAGTATCGCAGTAGGGTGGTGACTCCATCTTCGTTGTCTCTCAGTATCTCTTTTATTGTTGTTGGAAGTTTCAATTTTTGCCGAATGTTGTTGAACTCGTGGCACTCTACTAACAGGTGTTTTACTGACTGCGGTTTATTGTCACACTTTTCGCACGTGGGTGGTTCTAGACCTCTGAGAAGGTACCCGTGGGTAAACAGGCAGTGACCAATTCGTATTCTACACAATATAGTTTCTTCTCTTCTGGATATTCTGGTGCTAGTAGCCCACTTGTTGCAGTCTCTTTTTATTTCTAATAATTTTGACTTTTCAGTTTTCCATCTATTTACCCAATTTTCCAACAACTTCTTTTTTGTTGCGTGAACCCAGTCCTCCACTGTGGTACAATTTATTGAAATTATGGTTGGTTCCTTTCTTGCTAAGTTAGCTGCTCGGTCTGCTCTTTCATTGCCTGTGATGCCACAATGAGATGGAACCCAGACAAATATCACTCTGACCGTTCTTTTTTTTAATTCCCACCATAGATTCAGTATATCTCTTATAATTGAATTGCTTGCCCATGGGTTACCTATTGCTGTCATGACGCTTTTGGAATCTGATGCTATCATCCATTGATTGTCATTGGAATTTGATATCCAATTGAGGGCCTCCATGATCGCAGTAGCTTCTTCGGTAAATATGGAGCTCTCTCCAGGTAAGCTAAACAGAAGTTGGTGTTGGTTTTTATTAATATATACAGCGCAGCCAACACTATTTTCCATTTTGGAGGCATCGGTATATATTACATTATATCCTTCGTATTTCTTCAATAATTCAAAAAAGTAGTTTTGGATATCCAGTGGGTATTCCTTGTTACGTCTTGTCATTGATACATCTACAGTCGGTCTACTGTTCTTCCAGTTAGGGATTTTGAGGTTAGGGATGCGTCTAATTGTGTTCAAATCCATGTTCACATTATATAGCGTTTTATAAATCATTTGTTTAAATATGCGCTCCTCTATCTCCTGAAGTCCTCGCCAACCAGATCTTTCATCAAATAGTTTTGAACTCAAGGGGTGTTGTGGACATGCTTTTAATTTGGATACATATTTCATTGATATATATATTCGTCTCATCTCTAATGAGGGTTCTCCAGATTCGGCATATATACTTTCGACTGGAGAAGTTCGAAAAGTATATATTATGACACAAAAAAATTATTTTGGTTATTTTTTTTTAACTTGTTTATTTAAAAATATTACAATATGTCTCAAACGACATTTAGTGTTCATAGATCACATTCTCACTCTGTGTACAATAAATAAAGTAAATTATACAGAAAAATAATATATTTACTATAAATAAGAATAGAATAACCTAAAAAATAAATAAAAAAAACACATACCTATATATAACAATACATACCTATATAACATATACATAACTATATGCACTACATACCTATTACAATCAGGCGAGAGAACTTCGAGCCAGACTTGTCTCTCAAACTGTGGAGAGAAAAGCATGACTCCAGGAGTTGTGGTTATTAAATTAAATTTTCAGAGATTGTGCAATATTATTAAATTTACGAATCTACAATAACCCTCACAATTTCTAAAACTTTCATCAAAATCGAATTAACGGTAGAAGTTATTATGCTCATAATTTTTCGACAGACTGACAGGACACAAAACTTAAACAAGATTGAAAATTTGTTTTGTTGAAGATTCCCGGAACAAAACAGATATTCACTTATTGCATTAATAAGAAGCTTCTGTTCTTTAGTAAGTAAGGAACAAAAATTGTTGAAAACAATTTGAATAAAAACAAAAATAATTAAATAAATTAAAAAAAAATTAAAATAAGTTAAGAGAATGGGAATCAGTTTGAACTTATCGCTGAGCGAGTTCGGAGTCTTCGGATTGTCATATTCTTTTAGGCGAGCTCTGGTAGCTAAGCTCGTAGCTCTCGATTTCGATGACAAGCGGAACATCCTGAGCGTTTCCTTCCAGTCCCCGCTCTTGAGGAAACTGAACTTAAATGAGGCAGTAACAGCGTCAGTGGTTCAAGAGCACTTTTTAGTTTATTATTCAGCTACTGGCATCATGTAGATAAATCCACTTACATTATAAACTAATTATCGAATCAAAAATAATTGTTTAAATTGTAAAGAAAAATATACAAAGAAGGGAGTAATATTCACAATCTGATAAAATATTCATTGAAAACCTTCAACTAAATTTTTATAATACAACTATTAAATCTACCATACACATTATGAATATCCAATTGCGTTCTTCCATGCGTTCTTCAAAGTTCGTTGATTGTTGATTGTTAATGAATTGCGTTACTAATGTTTTTTTTTTATATCCCCTTTTTATTTATTTTTCACTTGGATCCTTTTCATTGTTTTCATAGTAGTCCTTTTACTGCTTAAAAGCATTGTAAGGTGTATTTTTGGATTTTTTTTTTTTGTCGTTTATGAGTATTTTGTTCTTCATCTGTAATATAAAAGTGATAGGGCTCACCTCAGGCTTGAGTTGACCTTATACTCTAGAGCTTACAACTAAATTAATAAATCATCTATCTCATGTGATTTGTTGCCAACGTTTTGCAATTTGGGCTGGTAATAATTTGTTGAAAAGAGGGTTTGCCCCTTGTTGGGATTTTTCGAAAAATGATTTTTTTCGTTTTGCCAGAAATTCGTTTATAGTTGATAAATTTATTGTTGCTTGAATATCCAATGTCTTCTTTCTCTGCAGCGTGGTTCCTCTTACAATTTTTCTAATTATTCCATTTTGGAAATATTGTAATCTTTTCAGAGTTGTTTTGCTGATGTGTTCGAACAGAGGTGCACCATACAACAGAGCCGGCCGTATTATACTTGTATAGACTAGAAGCTTTAGGCGTAAAGATAGGTTTGTTGTCCGAATTAAATTTTGGAGTCTGTACGTCTTAGATCTTACTGTTTTAATTTTTTGTCAAAATGTCTAGTAAATTTTAAATGTCTGTCGAAGTGAATACCGAGATATGTTAAGTCAGTCGATAATTTAATACTGTTATTGTTAATTTTGAATTCGTTTGGCATTTTCTTTTTTCCTTTTTGGTATGAAAATATAATTCCTTTCGTCTTTTCAGGATTAACATCTATGTTTAGGATTTTTAGCTGTTCTGCTATTTTTTCACAAGCTATTTCCGCCTGCTGCATAGCTTTTTTTTCATTCATACTGCTACTTGAGACAGCAATGTCATCAGCAAATGCTGTCACGGAAGCAGTTTGGTGTTTAGCTCCCACTATTTCCGCAGTATATAATAGGAAAAGAACTAATGTGGTTTTTGAAACTTCTTATATATATTTAACACTTATTGAGAACACATGATTAAACATCATCGAATACCTATCCATGTGATTAATTTCACCGGAGGCAATGTAATAGGTTTAAACTTTGAAATAAATTAGTGAAAGCTTCATAGTATGACCCAAAATAAAAACATTATAAACTATAAAAGACTTAAAAACATATTTGGTACCGTAAACCGGGGTTACTTTGGGACTTGGGGGTTAATAAGTACTGGAGTTTTTTTGAATATGAAATCACCTGGTTGGCTAACTCATTTATTATATTGAGACAACATTAGTTGTCTTGATATAACAATTTTCCTGTCTGCGAAGTGATTTCAAATTGAAAATAAACTCTAGTACATATAATAACCCCTTAGTCCCAAAGTAACTCCGACTTACAGTAATCGATATAGGCCTCTTCAATACATCAATATATGCCTCTTTTGTTGGAACCTCTCTGGTGAGTCCAGGAAACCCACCCTCAGCCAAGGACTTCAGAATTAATAATCAAAAGTGAATCTAGCCAATAAGAAAGAGGACAGGAGGGCTTTTGTATAGAACCATCGATTTTCTATTGTAGTCTCTATAGACGGAATACATTAAGGGCTTATGGATTGACCAGTCTGCCGGAGTTTTAGCCTGATTAGAATCTGAACTAGCTATATACTTATCCCACATAAAATACTAAGGGTAAATTTTAAAATTATCTAGATTCCGAAAAATTTAGAACACATTCGACAGACGGATTGCAGAAAATTAAGGACTTGCTACAATATTCACCCATTTTATTGGCGATATATCTTAAAGTGGTCCCTAATAATCCTTGCTACCTTGCCATATTAAGAAGGCCTGGCTGACAATAGTCTATTGCATAGGTGGAAAACCTTATATGATTAGAGGACGCATCAGGGTTAGGCATTGATAATGCAGGCCGCAATAGTTTTGAGTGAGTACACATACCCCTCTATATATAAGATAAAGACCGGAGACTGGCGATATCAGCCTTAATACCATCTTGTAATGTAAATAAACATAACAATTGTATATAAGGCAGATTATTGAACGAATAAAGCAGTGTTTATTCAGAAGCCGTGAGTATTGTTTCTCGATCCTTTTTCCTTCTTTTTTTTTATTTTCAAAGCCCGCCGACGCTTAACTGGTGCCGAAACCCGGGAGAACGTCAGGAGAACACGGAAGTAAAATTTTTTTTTCTTTCTTTCTTTTCATTTTTTTTTCTCTTCTCCTAGTCATAAGGAAAAGGCGAGATGCCGACAGAGGGCTTGATTCGACCAGGAGTGTTGAACGCACCTGAAATTCCGCAACCTCAGGAAATGCCGATAGCGCAGATTCCTCAGATCGCCCCTCAGGTTCCTCAGATACCTCAGATACCTCAAGTACCGCAGATACCTCAGATACAGGAGATCCCTCCCTTACCTAGGGACACATTGGCAGAGGCGCACGCCAATGCATTGGAGTGGATGAAGATAAGGGCAGCGACCACGCAGGATCTACGGAGAGCAATCGCAGACCTGGAACGATTCGGGGGCGAGATAGGTGAGCTTAATCACTTCTTGAAAGGTGGAGACCGCCTCATGTCAAGAATCGAAGCAAAGGTGGCGGAGGACCTTGTGAACCTGGGAGACGCGGAAGCACTGAAGGCAGCTCTCGTGTGCCGAGTGAGGAGGAACATCCTCAACCAAATCCAAGCGGACGAGGAGACACCATGGCCAGTGATTAAGGAGCGTTTGAAGAAGGCTTTCGGAGGGGGCCGATGGACGCCGGAAGAAGATATCTTTCAAATGTTCAGGGAGCGTCGGTCCCAACGCCAGACAAGAGGACAGTATGCGGGGGTACTAGTGGCGAAGTACAACCGCATAACTGAGAAAATGCGTGAAACCATGAGTGTGGGAGAGGTCGAAGCTAGGATGGAATTCCTTTCGACAATACTCAAGGTTCAGTTGGCTAAGGAGACTGGGAGGAGGGACGGACTGCCTAGAGAGCGATCGTTCCTCGAGTGTGCCCAAGAAATGATAGATCTGAGTGCAAGAGAGGAAGAGACTCGGATGGAAGTAGAGGAACCAGGGTGGACCCGAGTGAGTGACAGACGACCCCGGACAGCCCAGATAGGGTGGAAGAAGAGGGAAATGAAACACCCGAACGGAGAAAAAGCCACGACGGGCGAGAGAAGATCCGGACAGTCCAGGCCTAGGAATGGACCCCGGAGGGAAGACAGAAAATGTCACGGGTGCGGGAAACCAGGACATTTGGTAGCACAATGTCCGCGCACTAGATGTTTCGAATGCGGGACCGAAGGGCATATTGCCAGACAGTGCCCTACATGTTTCGCAGGAGAGAGAGACCTCTAGACGAGCCAATGGAGGTGAACGCTCAAAAGTTGAAAAGACGAGCTAGGATGCAGCAGAGAGACGGATCTTCGGAAGAGGCAACCGAGGAGTCGGGGACGTCGGGAACGGAGACTGATGAACCAGCCAGCAGTGGAGGCGAAGGAGGCAGGAGCAGCCAACGGAGCGAGCAACGACGAGCGACGGCGGTAAGGAGGAAGCGAGGCGGCATCTGAGGAGGGTGTCAGCAGAGAGGCGACCGCACAGCAACCTGCAACAGTATTAGAGGTAAGCCATGCTGGTTGCCGATTATTGAAGTAGACGGGGGAGTGAAGTGTCTCGTGGACACAGGGAGCTCGAGTACTATCTTGACTCGGGGGGCGTTGGGGAAAGTGTGCGGGAGCGAGAGGGTACTCCGGATACAAAACTGTGGCTGCCAGCTAATCACTCTGGGTGGTCCCTGTAAGGTAGAAGGGGAAGCGACAATTACGCTTGATCGGTGGGCAGGGAAAAAGGGTGAGCTAAAGGTGCATGTGGTAGAGAGCATGACACGGGAGTACCAAGTCATAATAGGGTGTGATCTGTTAGGACAGGTAGGGGTAAGCATTAGAAACCGTAGAGGAGCTTGGAGTATCAGGCTGGGAAAGAGGAAATTTGGATGTATAGGGGTCGCGAGAGAAAGAAGGGTGCGGATAGGAGCGGTGAACAGGGTGGAGGACTGGAGAAAGGCGTTACAAGCGGAGTTCGTAGATATTTTCTTCAGGGAGGGCGAGGTATTGGGGGTAACAGGGAAGACGGTACACGAAGTTCCACTGAAGCAAGATAGGGTAACCTACGTAAAGGAAAGGAGATACCCGCAGGCGCTGAGGCAGCATATTCGGGAGGAATTGGAAAGCCTAAAGGAGCAAGGGATCATAGTCGATAGCACCTCGCCATTTAATAGTCCCCTGTGGGCGGTGAAAAAGAAGGCAGCGCCGGGGGATAATAAGGAAAAATACAGAGTGGTAGTGGACTATCGTAAGTTGAACGACAACACGGTAGACGAAAAGTACCCGATCCCCAGATTCGAAGATATACTCGATAGGTTGAGTGGGGCTGTGGTGTTTAGCACGTTGGACCTCAAGGCGGGATATCACCAAATACGGATGCACCCGAAGGATCAACATAAAACGGCGTTTACATTCGAAAGGGGGCATTACGAATTCACCAGAATGCCGTTTGGTCTGAAGAATGCGCCCATAACGTTTCAACGCCTGATGGACGAATTTTTGAGGGGTATCGACGACTCCGTATGTCAAGTATATATGGACGACCTGCTGATTTTTAGCAGAACGGAAGCCGAACACGTGGGGCATTTGAGGTCGGTATTCGAAAGGCTGCGACAATTCGGGCTGAAACTGTCAAGCGAGAAGTCCCTGTTGGGACA